TTAAAGGACTGAACGACTCAATTTTTCAATTCTTGGATTGTAATATGGCGGTAGCCTATTGTACTTACTGTTGATGAAGAGCAATATGAGGTCACGAGGTAATGGTTAAATGATGAGGCTCTATAAGGACGACGACATTAGTGGGTGTCGAACCGCAACGTACAATGCCAGACTTGTTTCAAACATCGTGTACCCAAAGACTCTCCTCACCCGCAACAGAATACGGTAGAATCAATGAGGATGCTGCTTTACAACTGTACGTGGAACAGGAAAACTGCACTGTGCAGAAATACAGCTTATTCGCTAATATGAGGGACGGATTTCTAGCAGCATTCCCTGATTGACTACTTGGAACAAATGGCCTCGTTGACGTAAAGTGTCCCCGTCCCAAAAGATTCTTGAAGCATACTTAAACCGCAAAGGAGTATGAGGCGAAAAATAAGAAAAAGGAGCCTGGTGTGAAAGGTCCAAATCACCACCATAGCTTCTACTATCAAATAAAAGGGCAGTTACATAATACACAAAGAGAGTTTTGTGACTTAGTTATATTTACACTCAAGGGCATTGATATCCAACGTATTCAGAGGGGTGACACATTCTGGTCAACCAACATAGAGCCTTTTCTACTCAAGTTTTGCATGGAAGGCCCGACTTCGGCTGAAATTCCTCACGTAGACGAGTTGTCCGACCGAATAAACTGCATTACTCCCCATCTGGGAATCTCTCGATCTTCGTTTGTAGGCCATAGTATCATGAGATCGAGTGGTGTGGCTCTTCGTCCGCCGAATATTGCTTCGGCGGGTGTTTTTACCGTGTAAGATGAGACCGTCGCGTGCTGCCGGAACAAGAACCTGGCAATTCTTCACTGAACTGCTCCTTCCGTAAGCTTCAAAAGGTTGTTTTTTTTCGTTTCGCACACCATCTGTTCTGCTTGCCCGTTAGTTGCAGGATGCTATGGTGCACTAGATGCCTGATGCCGGTTTTTCTTCAAAAACTTGTTCATTTTATTTGAAGCAAGATTTGGGGCGTTTTCAGAGAAAAGTGCTTTCGGTAGGGAAAAAGTATGTAAAAGAGACCGTAGAATGTCAATGTCGAGTTTGGACGTCGTGGCAGGCATCGTGTAAACTTCCAGCCACTTAGAGTACGCATCGACCATGACTCCGCAGATGTGGATACGTTTCGCCACCCACCGACTGAATAGTGGATCGTTTTCAGTCACTGTTCATGATGGCGTTGGACTCAAGGAAGACTTCTAGTCTTTCCAGACAGTTAGCCCAGGTGCCAGGACTGTTGTCAAAAGTGGCAAGTGTTCGAAACGTCGACAACGCCGGTAGCCACGTGTTGTGCTTGACAGTGAACACTTACCATTCGCTGTGAAGAAACTTGCTCGTTCGTCTGCCACGAGTCGTCCGATATCAGGTCATCACCGCAACACCATCTCCCGACAAAACTGGTCTTCATTTTCCGCATGTCCATAGTTAGCAATCACGTGAACTTATTAATTCCCGAACGCTCATAACTTGCTGTCGCTAAACGCCGTTCATTCATAGCGTCTTCGTTGCAAAGTAACGTCTTCCTATTTCTTCTGATGCTTTTCATCATATTCCTCCTAAGCTGTACTTACAACATTATGTGTGTCGGTACTTCCGAAAATATTGCAACGGCGTTTGTTTTCTGAAGACCCTATAATGTAAAAACCTTTACAACATCTTCCGGACCCCGTGAAACACAATTATTCGTGACGTTATTTTAGTCGTCAATAAAATGGTGAAGTAAGCACCGTAAATCGCGAAGCAGTTTACTTGACGTCCGCTTCCACTGGTGTCTTGGAAGATTGAGTCTAGTGAGCCTGCATTCTTGCAGAAGAAATTTTTATTGATAGAATATTGACACGTCAATCAACAAGTGATTCCCTCTTGGCAAGATTTATTGCGAAAGCCCGTGACAACCGCCGAACCGCATGTCCCTATATCAGATAACAATTTATACCCAGCCTGACATTCTCGCATACATCGGTCACTACTTGAGCTAGCTGAGCACAGCTGGCAGCGGCGCGAGACAGGCCACGAGGGGAACGTGATGGTGCTCGAGCCATCCCACTGTGAACCAATGTTTCGGCCACCCCACGGGTGCGTGTCGCCATCTATTGGTTGAACTAACGCCTTGTTCAAGATGGCTGCCGTGAAACCGCAGCCTTAAGCGGGTGTGCGGGTGCCCGAGGCATTTCGCCCTTTAATGTCGAAATTTCGCTTTTAATCGACGTAATAACTGAACTGTGTGGCGCCAGTCAGGCGGCGAGGAAAGCACGTAGTGACTCTACAAGGAATTTGGTTTTGACCGTTCAGGTGTGTGTGTGTAGGCATTGTAAATCGAGATTTGGGGGTTAGTGGAGGAAGAGAGAGCCAATTGTGTACGCGCATAGGGCGCATTTGTCATTGGCTCTTCGGCTTGGGGGGGGGGGGGGGGGGGGGTGGAGGAGAAGACAGCTGGCGTTTGTCACAGAATTCGACTATTTTTCTCTATTTTGTAGTTTTCGCGGGGGAGCGCATCCGGTCGTCGGTCGCCCCTTACCCCGCCGGTTGAGCGAGAGAGCTGGGGCCATCGGCTTGTGCTGTTTCGCAGCCCCCGCTAATTGGAAACCGCGGGAGAGGTCCCCTGTCGAGGAGGGTACGGCGGGATGTTTTGTCCCCACCACGGCGGTTTCTTCGTTTTTTTTTTTTGTTGTTGTTTTGACAAGAAAAGAACTGTTCCCGGAAATTGAGAACCTTGGCTTGGTTTCGAGCCGAGTCAAGTCAGTGTGTGCGCGAAGACTTGGCCGGGGGGTGAACGCAACGCGAAGTTTGGGCGGGACTGCGGTAACGACGGAAGGCTGAGCGCGGGAGGAGTTCGGGCTCCCTGTTCCAAGCGCTGCTTTGGGCGCCCAAGTGTGTGTGCGATCGTGGGTGAGTGCTGTGGCGAGGAGCCACGCCGACAGCACCCAAGCGCACGTCAACCTCCCTGGTTCGGTCGGCATCGCAAGAGGCTGCGTCACCCCCATCACCCACCGGACTCAGGTTCGCGCCACTCACCCCCATATCACTTTGTGTAGTTTATCCCCCTTTTAATTGTTTTTTCCTTCTTTGAGTGCAAGAACTTAATTGCAGAAAACGTTCTTTGAATGAGCGCTGTGTTTTCATGTATAGATATTATCGTATAAGATAAGTCGCGCCTGAGCGCTTCCTCTGTGGGGCGGTTCGTTGTGCCTTGCTGCCGGGAGTTTTTTTGTTTTTTGTTTTATGTCTATCGGATTTTCAGTAAACCATATTATGGTTGAAAAGAAAGGAGTCTGTGTTGTTCCTTCTCCCCTCACCGTGAGCCCGTCACCCGGGCGTGGACCTATCGTCCGGTCAGCGGTCCTATCAAAAATTATAAATTTGTTTGCAGAGGATATCTTTTTTCACCGAACTTGTGACAGCGTGTAGGGGGGAGATAAAGTTGCGTTTAGAGGCGAGGGACGGCGGGTCACGGTCCGAAGAAGCGGGAATCACATTGACAGCTCGCTGTTCATTGGGTAAGAGTATACCACTTGACATTGGGCAAATTCGAAGTGATTGGTCTCTCTCTGAAGATAAAGGAGGTCCCTACGAGTCTAGAAAAGGGGTGCCGAGAGGATTCTCGGGAATATCGGCTCTTGAGATTGGGAGAATTCGGCGTTTGAGACTGGGGACCAAAGTATGCGTTTTAATAGACTCCTTTCAAAAGTTCATCGAGCAACATTGGCGCTCATGATTGCTTGCTCACGAAACACGTGATTGGATCCGAGTCCTCGCCGAACGCTGTCGCAGCACTCGTGTCCAATACGAGCTGAATCGAGAGCCCTCGTGTCCAATACAAGCTCAGAGTATGTGAGCAAGCAATGGCGGACAGGCGTTGGCGTGGACGTTTGGAAAGGGTCTATTTGGGAGTTTCGTTATGTAAATTACTGTCGGGTTGTTGTCGTTTCGTTTTGGAATAAACGTGGCCACACTGGCCATTGTAAACCAACCAACTTCATACTGGGTCCAGTGGGATCGAACAAATTTTAGTTGTTTCTTTTATTCGGCTTCCCGGTGGTGCTTCCATCGGGCGAACACCACCATTGGTCGTCACCATCCTGAGCGGCCCCTGCCTCGGAAAGTTGACTCTATGTATGCAAACTGTTCCCTAGAGCCGCAGAGAGACGCGAGAACGAAACCTGGGTGGCGGCAGCGGGGAGGCGAGGGAGCGTGTCCGGACAGCGCGACCCCGTGGGCATTTGGCAACACGAGCTGCGGAGGGGTAGGGGAGGAAGAGAGGGCATTGCTGGACGGCAAGCTGGAGAGAGCAAAACGATGGGGAGGCGAAGAGCGCTCTCCCCGTGATCACGTGGTTCTTCAGAACAGTGGGGGCCTACAGCGAAGGGAGGGAGGGTTGGGGGGGGGGGGGGGGGCGGGTTGAGACAGAGCTTTGCCTTCTGTGAGGAACGACGCGGAGTGGGAGAGCAGTGCCTCTGTTGTAGAGTGGGTTTCTGCGTTTGTATATGAACATTTTTTGCCGGGAAAGGGCGTAACGGCTACCGCTGGCAACCGGAAGCATCTAACGAGGCTCTTCCAGATGCCTTTATAACGCCTTATGTGTTCCTGGCCCATTCCTTGTACGTGCCAAGCACATGCCTTACAAAGGACTTATACAAGCCTTGCACATGACTTGCACATGGCTTGCATAACATGCCTTGTGCACCGACCTTGTGCACAGGCCTTATGCGTGCCTCTATTTTTACAGAACCGCCACCTACGACGACCCAATTCCAAGGAAAAACAATGGCAGCTCGAGATCGGGCTCTATTCGCACAAAATTCACTGGCACTGGACGCACATTGGTTGCTAGCCCCAATCTCGAGAAAAGTGCGATAGACACGTCCGTTGAAGAACGCCACCCTCGACGCAATAGTGCAGGGGCTATGGTGCCTGGGCCACCGAGACTGCAGGAAGGCTGGGACCCACCTCAACACCCTTGATGGGCTGGCGGGAGCCGTCCACGGCCACCACGGAGTAGCCGCGGAACGGGAACTGGTTGACGCTGGGCTGCCCGACCCGGTTGAGCAGGGCGCTGGCTGGGTCCGACAGGGGTCCGTCCGCCTCCAGCCGGTCCAGGGTGGCCTGCGAGAGGACGTGGGTCTGCCGTGAGCATCCTCGTGCATGCAAGATTCCCGGGCACCAGAGCTCAAAATAATCTAGAAGAAAAGATCCCGAGCATTTCGGCCACTTCGGAATGACAGACGTGGATATCGACGGTCGCAATAGGACCATATCACTGGCAGCGCTTTAATATACACAAGGAAGCAGCACAACGTCCCTTCCAAGGTGTTTCCTAGCTTTATTTTGCAAAAAGACATTGTGCCTTCTATGAAAATAAATGAAGCTGACGAGCGCTCGACTAACTTCAACCCATCGTGAAAAAACGAATGCACGGAACCTATCCTCCGCTTTCTTTCTTTACTTTTCTTTCGCTCTTTTTCTCATTCTCTCTTGGGACCGAATTCCGGACATAAGCTCACCGGACAGAAGCTCACCGGACAAAAGCTCACCACTTTTACCACTAACCCGAACAAAAGCTCACCACTTTTATCACGAACCCGCACAAAAGCTCACCACTGTCTTCACGAACCCGGACAAAAGCTCACCGCAAAGCTTCCCCTGGTCCTTGACATGAGCTCAAGCAGCTTCGATGCATCCGTGAGACCCCCAAAACAATGATAACTGAAATGTGCTCATGGTTAGTTAAGGATTATAAACACGTTTATTTGCATATTGTCACGGGCGGTGACAAATAAACAAGAAATAAACAGGAATAAATAAACGTTTAATGTGGCGAACTTGTGCCAAAAATAAAAGGGTACAAAAGAAAGATAACAACAGAGCGTCGCGGGCGTCGACGGCGGCGAAGCAGCACGATCAAACGCTGAGGCGAGACTGACTCGACAATGTCGCAGGCGGCCTCTTATCTAGAGTGCGTCGCTATCTCGAAGATTCGGCGAAAGCGGCTCGAGCGTCGCGTGATCGGGGCGAGAATGAACACGCACTTTCTAGAAAACAAAAGCAGAAGATACATGGATATAAATAATAGAAGTTACGTGCGCTACATGAATAAACGGGAACTTTCTAGGAGTCCGTGGCCGAGCGTTGCTTTCTCAGCCCTGCGCGCGGCATTACTCCCCCCTTTAAAAGTGCATCGCCCCGATGCAGTGTAAAACAAAACAAAATAAAAAAGAACGATAAACTAAAGAGTCTTTTGGAGCACATAAGGTCCACAGTCCTATCGAGCGTAGTACGGCTCCAGGCGCACGACGTGGACGACCTCAGGTCGTGGTGGGCGGCGTGACGATGTTCGTGTTCCGTCGGGCATCACCTCGTAGTTCAGCTCGCCGAGGCGACGAAGTACCTTGTATGGTCCAAAGTACCGTTTCAGCAGTTTCTCACTGAGGCCGCGGCGACGGATGGGCGTCCAAACCCACACCCTGTCTCCGGGCTGGAAATGAACGTCCCTGCGACGAAGGTTGTAGCGGCCCGCGTCGACGCGTTGCTGGTCTTGAATCCTGAGTCGGGCGAGCTGGCGGACTTCTTCGGCCCGTTGAGCAACCACCTGGGCGTCGTCGCTCTCACTGTCAGCTGGCTCATGGGGCAGCATCGCGTCCAGCATGGTCGTTACTTTGCGCCCATGGACCAGTTGAAAGGGTGTCACTCCGGTGGTCTCTTGTACGGCCGTGTTGTAGGCAAATGTGACGTACGGCAACACCTCGTCCCATGTCTTGTGCTCCACGTCGACGTACATGGAGATCATGTCGGCGATGGTTTTGTTGAATCTCTCCGTCAGCCCGTTGGTCTGCGGGTGGTACGCCGTGGTGCGACGATGGCTGGTGTGGCTGAGACGAAGGACTTCTTGCGTCAGCTGGGCCATGAATGATGATCCACGGTCTGAGATCAGAACTTCGGGAGCGCCGTGCCGGAGGACAATGAACTCAATGAAAAACTTGGCGACTTCAACAGCCCTTCCTGATGGAAGGGCTTTTGTCTCGGCGTACCGCGTGAGATAGTCGGTTGCGACGATTATCCATCGGTTTCCTTGCGTCGATGGTTGGAAAGGTCCGAGTAAATCCATACCGATTTGCTGGAATGGGGCAGATGGCGCGCAATAGGCTGAAGAAGTCCTGCCGGTCTCGTCGGTGGCTTCTTCCTTCGTTGACACTCGTGGCAAGATCGGGTGTAATGGTGTACTGTCTTCGCAAGCTTGGGCCAGTAGTACTTTTCGCGTATCCTCGCAAGAGTCCTGCTGTAACCAAGGTGTCCCGCCGTCGGGTCATCGTGGCAGGCTTGAAAAATTTCTTCTCGAAGACTGGAAGGGATCACCAACAGCCACGCCGTGTTGTTGTCGCTGAAGTTCTCCTGTACAGTACGCCTTGTCGGATGGAGAAGGTTGGCAGAGTTCGTACAAAACCGCGGGGAACGGCGCTTCCTTGCCCCTCTAGGTGTTCGATGAGTGCTCGAAGCTCAGGGTCGTCTCGTTGGAGTGCTGCCATGTCGCTTACATCCAGAGCGCCGAGGAAACACTCATCGTCGTCCTCTTTGGTGCAGGCAGGACCGGCCTCGACTGGGGCCCATGACAGGCAGTCGGCGTCATTGTGCTTCCGGCCGGACTTGTACACCACGGTCATGCCGAACTCCTGCAGTCGTAGGCTCCACCGAGCGAGGCGTCCGGAGGGGTCCTTCAGATTCGCCAGCCAGCAGAGCGAGTGGTGGTCTGTGACTACGCGAAAAGAACTTCCATACAAATATGGGCGAAACTTTGTTATTGCCCATACGACAGCGAGGCACTCCTTTTCGGTCGTTGAATAGTTCGTCTCCGCTTTAGACAGCGTCCGACTTGCGTATGCGATAACTCGCTCGGCTCCGTCCTGCACTTGGACTAGTACCGCACCCAGTCCGGTGTTACTGGCGTCGGTGTGGATCTCGGTTTCAGCAAACTGGTCGAAATGGCCAAGAATCGGGGGCGTCTGGAGTCTTCGTTTGAGCTCGTCGAATGACCTCTGGTGTTCTTCTGTCCACTCGAACTTTACGGCGTCCTTCGTGAGGTGTGTCAGCGGTGCGGATAGCTTGGCGAAGTCTCGAACAAAGCGCCTGTAGTAGGCACAGAGTCCGAGAAATCTTCTCACGGCCTTCTTGTCAGACGGCGGCGTAAATGCAGCTACGGCGCGGGTCTTCTCGGGGTCAGGTAGAACACCCTTGTTGCTCACGACGTGGCCAAGGAACTTTAGTTCCCCATAGGCGAACCGACACTTTGTTGGCTTGAGTGACAGGCCGGCGGTCTTGATGGCTTGAAGCACGGCTCGAAGTCGTCTGAGGTGTTCGTCGAAATCTCGTGAGAATACCACGACATCGTCCAGGTAGACGAGGCAGCTCTGCCATTTCAGACCTGCCAGCACGGTGTCCATGACGCGCTGGAAGGTGGCTGGTGCTGTACAAAGTCCGAACGGCATCACTTTGAATTCGTATAGTCCGTCGGGAGTGACGAAGGCAGTTTTCTCCCGGTCACGTTCGTCGACTTCAATCTGCCAATAACCACTCTTCAGGTCCATCGACGAAAAATATCGGGATTAACGCAGTCGGTCTAACGTATCGTCGATGCGTGGGAGCGGATAGACGTCCTTCTTTGTCACGGCGTTCAGTCGACGATAGTCCACGCAGAACCGCAGGGTTCCGTCCTTCTTCTTTACAAGGACGACTGGGGACGCCCATGGGCTCCTTGAGGGTTGAATGATGTCGTCGTCGAGCATCTCCTGGACTTGATCTTGAATCACTTTCCTTTCTTTTAAGGAGACCCGATACGGCGACTGGTGGACAGGAAGTGCGTCGTCGTCGGTAACAATGCGATGTTTCGCCATTGGTGTTTGGCGAATCTTTGATGTCGTGGCAAAACAGTCACTGTATTCGGCAAGGAGATCAATCAGTTGTCGGCGCTTCGTAGCTGGGAGCTCGGGGTCAATGTCGAGCGGTGGCGGCGTCGTGCTCTTCTGCTGTGGCGACGAGGTTTCCTCGGAGATTGCGGTGACCACCGCTGGCGCTTGAAGCTCCTCGACGTGGCCCACAGTGGTACCCCTCGTTAGGTGCTGCGGCTCCTCTCGAAAGTTCGTCACAAGAACAGTTGTACGTCTTTCTTGGAGATCCGTTACGCCTCTTGCGACGCCAATTCCTTTTTCAAGGAGCAGTTGGACGCTGCCTTCCAGAAGAGCTTCACCATGCATGGCTGCGTCGGCTATAACGGTGACGAAAACACTCGACCGCGGCGGTAGGTTCACATGATCGGCGATAACTCGGATCGCGGTTGATGTCGTGTTGGTCTCCACCGGCGGTAAAACAGGTTTCCGCAGCGTCAACTGGTTTGCCCCGAGGTCGATGACGGCGCCATACTCGCAGAGAAAGTCCATTCCGAGGATAACGTCCCTCGAACAGTCTTGCAGAACGGCGAACTTCACAGGGCACGTTTCACCGTGGATCTCGACGCGAGCAGTGCATCTCCCGACTGGCGTGATGAGATGTCCTCCGGCGGTTCGTATTTGGGGTCCATCCCACGGCGTCATGACTTTTCGCAGGCGGCGAGAGAGCCTCCCACTCAAGACTGAGTAGTCTGCTCCGGTGTCCACGAGTGCCGATGTGTCGAGGCCGTCAATAACAACGTTTAAGTTGTTGGACACCGAAGCAGGAGCGTCGTTGTGATGCGTAGTGTCGGGAGAGTGGGAGCGCTCCGTCGTTCGTGGAGGCTTTTTACGTCGGTCGTCTTCGGCAACTCCACCTCCAGGGGTTGCCGCGCCTAGTTTCCCCGGCGAGGAGCGAGGGGCGACAGGCTTTCACGTCGGGGTCGGTGCATCGGCGAAGCTGGACGTCGCGGTGACGGCGACCGGAACTCTCGGCGGGACGCAGGCTCGGGGGACTGGGGTCGTCGCAGGTACTCGTCGATCTCCCGAGGCCGTTCACCAAACCGGGGGCGCGGGTCGCTTGGGTGGAATCCGCGCAGCCCGAGTCGACGGTATGGGCATCGGCGGTAGGTGTGGTCTGCCTCCTCGCAGTGGAAGCACAGAGGGCGTCGGTCCGGCGTTCGCCACACATCGGTCTTCCGGGGTGCACGGGGCTCCTGGCTGGCGTACTGGGGCTGGTCGTCGCGGCGTCGGTCGTGCTGCGGCGCAGGAGACTGGCGTCGAGGCGGCGCGACATAGGTGCGAGGAGGAGGCGGTGGCCGTCGGGCCACTGCTGCGTAAGTTAGCGCGGGTTCTTCGGAGACTGGTGTTCTGATGGGAGCCTCTGGTTGAATGGCTCTCTGCACCTCTTCCAGCACGACCTCAGCGATGGAGAGCGAAGCTGGTCGGTCCGCGGCGGGTAGTAGCTTTCGCAGCTCCTCCCGGACGACGTCGCGAATGATCTTGCGAATGCTTGGGATGCTGGAGCCAAGGTCGCAAGCGGACGGCGGAACCGCGCTGACGCCGGGTAGCCTCTGGTAGTGGCTGGCTCGGGCTTGCAGGGCACGCTCGATGTTCGTTGCCTCGGCGACAAAGTCTTCGACAGTTGTCGGAGGGCTGCGGACAAGGCCACCAAAGATGTTTTCTCTCACGCCCCGCATGAGGATTCGTAGCTTCTTCTCTTCTGTAGCCCGAGGGTCGGCGCGGGCGCTCAGGCGCAGAACGTCCTCTACGAAGCCGGTGACACTCTCGTTGGGGCCCTGGGTTCTGGTTCGCAGTAGGTCCTCGGCTCTCTCTCGGTGGTGGTGGTTGATGAAGGTAGCCTTGAGATCGTTCTTGAAAATGTCCCACGACGTTAGGGAGGACTCATGATTCTCGTACCAGTGCTTGGCAGTCCCCTCAAGCGAAAAATAGACATTGTGTAGGTGCTGCTCGTCTGTCCAGCAATTGTGGCGGGCAACGCGTTCATACAGGTCAATCCAGTCTTCGACGTCTTCGTACTGCTCGCCGTGGAATGGAGCCGGTGTCCGAGGAGCGACGGGTAGGTAGACGACGGCAGGAGCGGCGGGGGTCTGCGACTGGTTGGCCATCGTTGGCTGCCTGGCCCTGGGTGGTAAAAGTCCGTATTCCGGGTGTAGCCCTTGGGTTCGGCAACTTCATCGAGTCTCGATCTGGTCTTCGTTGGGTCCTCGGGAGCTTGGGTTCGGACTTGTAGTGCGGGAACTTGGAGGGCTGCGCTGCACGGGCATGCGGTACCCCGCACCTCCACCAAAAATGTCACCGGCGGTGACTAATAAACAAGAAATAAACAGGAATAAATAAACGTTTAATGTGGCGAACTTGTGCCAAAAATAAAAGGGTACAAAAGAAAGATAACAACAGAGCGTCGCGGGCGTCGACGGCGGCGAAGCAGCACGATCAAACGCTGAGGCGAGACTGACTCGACAATGTCGCGGGCGGCCTCTTATCTAGAGTGCGTCGCTATCTCGAAGATTCGGCGAAAGCGGCTCGAGCGTCGCGTGATCGGGGCGAGAATGAACACGCACTTTCTAGAAAACAAAAGCAGAAGATACATGGATATAAATAATAGAAGTTACGTGCGCTACATGAATAAACGGGAACTTTCTAGGAGTCCGTGGCCGAGCGTTGCTTTCTCAGCCCTGCGCGCGGCAATATAGATCAAAAACGGATACATTCGCCTACTGCCTCCAGCAGCCTTGGAAGATCCCTGTGCTGTTTGAAGTGCTCGCAGATGTTCTTCAAGTGGTTCTGGAGACGCTTTGTTGACTTGCGAACCCTCTTCACCGGCGGCTCACCTCTCCGTTCTTTGATGAAAGCTGTGGCAGCTAGTGCTTAGCCTTGTTGCAGGCGTTCAATGAGCCTCCAGACGTTTGAGTGAGCGTGCCCAACAAGCTTCCGGAAACCAGTGTTCCATCCTTCGCAGGCATTGTTGGTCCGGTCTTCGTCTTGCAGTGTAGCCTTGTGCACGTTCCACACTTCTGGGTGAAACTCAGGTCGTCGTCGACGCATGGTCACGGCTAGGGGAGCTCTCGTGGCGCTTGTCGAGGCATCACTAATACGGAAGGGGCCGTTGACGTACGTTGAATCTAAGTAGTCGAGCAGGTCCCCCATGTTACCGGTAGCCTTCCCCCTGATGTAGCTGATTCCTTCGGGCACAAGCTGTGGTGGGAGGAACGCCAGGCCATCCAGCATCCCGCACAGCTTCCTGAACTGGTCGTCGGTCTTGTACTGGTCCAAGAGAGCCAACTCCCGAACCTGGTAAATATTCGGAACAACGCACAATAAAGAATAGCTCACTCGTAACGAAAGCAATACAACTGTCTTAGTATATGCACTCCTTGAACGCCACGAAAGCACATTCATTAGCAATCAAGAACCGTACGTTCCAGACATCTTTGTGCTCGTTTAGTTAACTATTTAGGCACATTTTCTCAAAAGCCGGATACCATTCCACACAGCTGTTTCAAAGTAACAAGGCGAATTTTGATTACAATATCAAAAACGTATAGCTGCTAAATATGGCTCACCTTTCTATGAGTGCTTTGGCATAGGTGGAAGAAGCAGCCTCTGGTACTAACGTGGTCCCCAAAGACCTCCTTCCCAGCTTTCATGGCGGCGATCTCGTAGTCGCTTATGATAACAGTAGGCTCCGGATGGTACCCTCTCCTCACAGTTCTCCACAATCGCTTGAAAGTGTTCCTCATAGGTCGCCAAGCTCTTTTCCGAAAGAAGTGCGTACACGCAGGCCAATGAACTGTCTCCTACTTTGCAGCGCAGGACGTAGAGCTGCTTGAATAGCCGCGGGCACACCGAGAACGTGCCATCCATATACCAGGTCTGGCTGCTGCTTAACGCTGCGAGTTGCTCGTGGGGGGAAAAAACCAGCATGCGGTCTTGGCGCTCTTGCCCGTTGTCATAGAGTAGAAACGGCTGTGGTTGTACTCCTCCAGTTGCCCAGGTGTCCTGTACATGCAGATCCCTTGTTGTTGACGGCTCTGTTGGGCGCACCTTGCTTCGCTGTCGACGCAAGTCTCGGCGAACAGTTTCCAGGTTTCCAAAATTCGCACGCACTTGTTCCGATGTTCCTGTGAGAGCTTTGGCGAGAAGTCGGCTCGGGGGTTCGGAAGTTTTGGTGGCTTTTTTTTTTCAGTTGACTCCTCAGCTTCGTTGTTTCGGTCGTGCTTGCATCATTCACATGATTGTGCTCGGCTGGGAACCAGCGACGAGAGATATGCAGAAGAAAGACACAAAAACGTTTATTAGCTTTAAATCTGAACCGATAGTTGTAGAAACAAAGGAGGCGAAAACGTGCTGCCCCCCCCCCCCCCATTCTACGCAATAAAATATAAAAAGACATCTCAACATTTCTCAATATTGATACCGTGAAAAAACAATTCTTGAATCATAATCATCACCATCGCCATCGTCATCAGCAATATCATCGTCATCACTTCCACCTCCATCATCACTTCCATCATAATTTTAACGCTTCTAAAGCCTGGGTAGTGCTATAACTCCCAACGTACACGGCGGCAGGCTGGCAGACGCACACGCGTAAGGGTTTTTGCCTATCTGCTTTGCCTGGCACGCCGCCGTGTGCGCACTAATTTAAGTGCAAATAAATCACTCACTCACTCACCCACTCACTCACAATATGACATACAAAATACTTCTCCATGCATGCAGGTGCAAACCGCTGTAAAGAATGCACCCAATAAAAATATCAAATAACTCACCGCAAGGTCTGCAGTAATAGCTCCTTTGCACCCCAGAGTCCTTTGGTACCGACACTGCCACCGGGTCCAGTCATTTTTGGAAATCTTTTGCACGTACTCGTAGCGATCAAGCAAAACGTTTTTTCCCCTTGTTGGACACAGTTACCTCCATGGTAGGAAAAGGAATGTACCTAGAAGTGCCGCCCGACTGCCTTTTATAGCGCCCCAAGGCATAAGCGCAATACCTCCAAGTTATTAAGGTCAAGAAATTTAGTCCACGAACTGCAGCTTGGTGTTACTACTTCACAGCGCATAAGCGTCTCACAAAACAGGCACTTACTCGATTACAGACACACAAACATACACATAGCGCATAAGCGTCTCGCAAAACAGGCACTTGATTACAGTCACAAAAAACATACACAAAGAGCAGTAGTAACATCGAAATTCAATTAGCCCAAGTTGTGATGCAGCTTGGCGACCAATCCGCCCAATGGCATAGGCACAGGCTGCCAGCCAATTTTGTTCACAAAGGGCAGGGCGCTGGGGCTTTTCGGTTAGAACTTGCTTGGGCGTGGCAACTGACTCAAAACAAAAAAGCCGTCAGACCCAAGTTGCGGTGACCTAGATTTTTCTGCCAAAACGTTGTCTCAGTGCCTAATGTGGCTTATCTCGTCAACAAATCCAGGAATCAGCAGTTTCTCCGGAAACGGCGCATTATTCATCCCAACCGCACCATAGCCCAGTCCGTGTTTTTCCCGGTGAGCTTTCGTCCGAGCAATCGAAAGAGAGACGTGAGCTTTTGCCCGGGTCTGTAAAAGAAACGGGTGAGCTTTTGTCCGGGTCTGTGAAAAAACGGGTGAGCATTTTTCCCGTGAGCTTTTGTCCGGTTACCCTTGGGACCACCCGTGTCAGCGCTTACGATTTGTCGTACTCTGTTCTCGTCTTTAGCCCCCTGGCCGAGGCGGCTTTCCGGCAGCATCATTGATTTCAAGTTTTTCAGGTTACCCAGGTCGGCAGACACCCTCGTCACAGCCAAACACGTCTCAAAAATTTTCCCCGAAGAGGTGACGCCTGGAAACCTCACCGTGAGCGACTCCTGGGTCCTCCCTGCGAGCAGCACCAGCCGGGGCAGGTGAGGCTTCTCCCTGGGGAAGGAGTTTACGTGAGGACCCGGATTCGCCTCCAGGATGGCGTGCACGTTGGCGCCTCCAAGGCCAAAGGAGTTGACCCCGACTAGTCCTCCCGGGAAGGGCGTGTGGCGGTCCACCACCCGAATTCTGCCGTCATTAAGCGACGGGATGGCCGGGTTTGGCTCGTTGAAGTGCAGGTTGCCCGGGATGGTGCCGGTCTCCATGGACAGAATCACCTTGGCAAACGAGCAGATGCCTGTGAGGGGACGCCAGGGTCACCGTTACTGCACGTCCAACCACCCGCTAATACGTAGCATGAATTAGCGAGACCCCTACTTATAATCGCTTATAACTAGGGTTGCGTGCCTTCGGAGTTTATTTTTCGTCAAATTCAGAGGGTATTTTTCGGAGTTTATTTTTTGCCAAAAATTCGGAGTTTATCGGAGCTTATATTTCTTTGATTCACAATTTTCTGAAATTCAGCGTTTAATTTTGCAGTGTTTCCTATTAAAAATGAAATAAAAAATAATCGGATGCAAATATACTCCAGATCAAAATAATAAAACGCGCATGTATCAATTAAATTTCCTTCAGTTGAATTTGACGTTGGTTCCATTGCCATTGGCAATACTAATTTGTCCCACGACAAAAGTCCTACAGAAGTGTTGCTTCGATAAACGTCGATACCTTAAAATCAATAAACTCCTAGAGGTAGTCACTAAGCTCTTAGTCATCACATCCTATTCCATCAATCTAGGCCTCGGCCGTGCGAGGTGGAGTGGTTAAGGATCTCATAAAGAAGTTTCAACTCTCCCTCTTCTCTATTTTATACAATCTTTATTATCCATACCTTTCACAGTTATAAAAACATACCCTCTCCTTTCTCTAAATCACAAATCGCATGGCTCACACTGGAAACCAAAAGATTGGCTTTTCTCGTGACCCGAATGTACAATGACCTGTTGCCCTGGATCAACCTTGACGACACAAGCGGTAAGACCCCTTTTGACAACGGTCCGTGATTTGAAGGATAATTATAGTGGCGTTTTTCCAGGACCATTGACTCTGTGCTAATCAAACTGTAAAAAAAAAAAAAAAAGTTTTTTTTTTTTTTTTTTTGCGGTAGTTGCATTGGCACATAAAAATTCGGAGTTTATCGGATAGATCCGAATTGACCAAAATTTTACCGGCGGGTGTTTTTTGGAGTTTTTCGGATTTATCCGAAAACACGGAATCCTACTTGTAACTGATGGAACCGATATACGTTTTTCCGTCTCTTCCTCGAAAAGAATACCGCCAGGACCGTAATACCTCGCTCCTAGAGCTCTCCGCCCTTGCTTTAAAAGATACACAACTTAAACTGCCTGTTTAAGAAAAAAACAAACTAGAAAGCAGTATAGTACTCAGTATTGTACTTCGAGCATAGAAAGGTCACGTAGAAATCCGCCGACAGTTCTTCCCCTCAGATGGCGCTTGCGATAAATAAACCTCTCGCAAAATCGAACCGATATCCTAGCGGTGTAGTGCCGTGCAAAGAATCTTCGGAATCACTTGGCCTTAGTTGCGGTCTTGAGTAGCCAATCTCACTTCACGACATTCATGTCACAACCAAATATGGTGCTTGCATTTTCAAAGACGTGACTTCTCTTAAATTTTTAATGCAGTGGGTGTTGCCTACCAATGTGGACGAAATAATGAGTCCCCTTCTTACGGGGGGGGGGGGGGGAGGGGGGAGGGGGGAGGGTCGGGAAGGGGGAAGGTGACTCCCGAGGTGTCAGAGAAAACAGGACTACGAAGACACGTGGAAGAAGCAGACTGGGTCAGTTATCCTACTCTAACTTCTCCTTAGCGGACATGTTAATTTATTCGTGAGCTCGTGCAAAATAATCAGATGAATTTAAGATACGGCACTAAATAGTAATTTCAAAATGTATTATTCAAGTTACTTTTAGAACGAACTATCTTTAGTAGAGTACAAAAACCTGGACACTTTAGAAGACACTTTGCAAGTATGTTGAAAGCTGATAATGTAAGCATACAAAGACAGAAGGGGATGCTCTACTTGTGATGACTTTGCTGAAAATAACATTCTGCTGCGACCTTTATGAATTTCAAGAAGCGCTTTAGCTGCTGCAATCTAAGTCTACTTTCAGTTTCAAATAATTCGGAATATGCAACATAATGGGTGCTGAAAGATTTGAGAAACAGAGGGGACTCACATCTTGTAGACATGGCATCATCCATGCTTTAGTTTGGCGGTAGGCTTGGCTCACGGTGCATTCCGCAATAAGTTCGTAATATGCCTCGCCGCGATTCGGGAGATTTTCGGCATTTGGTACAGGGTCGTCGAGATAAATTCGGGCATTTTACAGAATTCGTCTCTCAACAATACAGAGAAGCGAACCGACCGTATTGCGCTTCTGCGGCTAAACAATTTGACAGCGAACCATCGGATGATAAACAATTCACAACTTGCTGAAACGTAGACTAGGGAATATGACTGGAGGACAGCGATACTCGAATCGCAACGCGCCGGAAATTCGCCTAAGCAAATCATTGCGTGGTACGGCTACAAGAAGACACACATTTACATCATTGCCAGGACGTTCAGATAATCTGTCAGCCAGGAAGACGTCACGGCAGACCGAGCAAAGCAGAGAAAACGGTCGATATTCACTTCATTTTGAGGCGGTGTATTCTCCCAAATATGGTAAATTTTCTAAATTTATCTCGACGATTCTTTATGTCCTTAAGAATCAAACTATAAGTTGATCAGGCAGCCGGACTTGTAGAAGAATACGCTAGTGAACAACAAACTTGCACGCTCAGGAGAAACATCGACTCGAGGACAGCAGCCTCTGTCGCTCACCAACAACAAAGAATTAGTACTTTGTCCCCTCAGTAAAGGGAGAGGAGGAGCGGCTATATCTTCAAACTGTCAAAAAAAAAAAAAAGAAAAGAAAAAGTTCGAGACAGAAACACGTGTAACAAGGAGAGTGTCTACGAAACAGCCTCCAAACTTCGTTCCCTTGCCCACCTTCTGCATCAGCTGAAAACATTCTTGACGTATTGATGTGAAAGTTTTAAAACCAGAATCCATCAGTTTAGAAATAACTGGCTCCGCCCGGCAGAAAGCTGGGTTCAAGGATTCCGAGGAAAAAAGAATGCTCGCAATCGGAAGGAGATTAGAAAAACACCTTTAAACGAGCTTGGGAGCAAAAGTTAAGATACAACAGAAAAACGAGGGGTTTTGGTAACTAGAGCCCAATCTAGGTAACTACAGCTCAATAAAGCCAGCATGATCTAGCTTCCTTGGTCGAGGGAGTGACGGCGCTCGCTTGAAAACATGCTTGCGTATTTTCATACCCGAGCTTTCTGATCCGGCGATTTCCGGAAATCGCCGGTTCAGATTGATCATTGGCGCCACAATTTTACCCTGACAGAACCCCTCTGTCTTCAAACAAAAGGTGGGGTCTGGGTGTAAAATCCGGAAGACGTTACTAACACTCTGCTTGCTCCAGGCGTGAGGTATGACGCTACGGTCGGAACGTTGCCCTGGTCTATCTTGTTGACCCAATTTTGCTGTGTCACCGAAAAACTAAACTTTTGGCTGGTTTATATTATTAATTTTATTTTTAAAATGTTAACTTTGGAGAGCTGAGGGGGGGGGGGGGGGGTAGTCGCCCCCCCCCCCCCCCCCCCCCTAAATCCGCCCTTGTCTCTACCCCTGTCCGTTTCGACCTGGATGAGCCTCGTACCGACGTGCAGTCGTGTATCACTACTGCCTGGTGCACGTTAAAGACCCCAGGCTAGCGGTTTGTCCTGCATTGGCTAAATTTGGCATCTACAGCTGGGAGACAAGTCACCCGTTGAGGCAGATTAAGTTTTAGGCTGCATAAAGGACTCTACCGTATAAAGATACACACCCCCTAATTTTTTTTCTTTTCGCAGCTAGTACAACAGGCCTAGTAATCTGGAGCGGATTATATGACGGTAGTGTTTGTCGTAGCCACGCTCTGGGATTGGCAAAGCACAGGACACGCGAGAAGTCCCAGACATGGTTGGGGTTCGGCTACTGTCCTCATTGCAGCGATTGGGCACGAGACCCGAATGCTTGTCGGGCCATTGATTGTCACGAGCCCAAATCGGGTGTTCACGCGATGCTCGGGTCATTCCTCGGAGCCGTCAATCGGGGACTAGGCTGGACAATGCCAACCCTGCGACCTCCAAGCTACGTCCTCAAATTTTGCTAAGAACGCTCGCTTTTTTCCCTCGAAATTACACCGCAACAAAAAGGTTTCTTGGTCAGTGGCGTTGCGTGCGAGCATACTTGGGTTCCACTATTCGCGTCTCCAGCTCGCCGCTCGCCCTCCCGCGGCGGAAACGGGAAGCGCTCTAGTGAGGGTCCCCCGATTCTCCTGCTCAGCGGGCACGGCGGAACGGCGAGCGATCATGGCTCGCGAAATGTCGTTTCCGAAAGCAAACTACACTATCCACTGTCCCAACGTGGTGCTGCAGCCCGTATGAGATTGTACCTTAGAGAGTTTGAGTATAGCGTATAGAAGCAAACGGGGTGTTGCATAGTTTCTGGCCTGGGTGGAACCCAAAAAAAAGGGTCCCTCCCCTCAAAAGGGATTAGAGGGGATTATTTCCCTGGACTGCCGCCCCTGGAAAGCGATAAGCATGGATTATGCTCGGACCACTTCTTTGCATAAACCCGAGGCAATCGTCGCGCTCTGATAGGACGTTCGACGCGGAGCTTTGTTTGACGCTCTCCGATTATATTAGAGAGAAAGGGAAGTGCATGCGTGGATAGACTGAGTGACGGGGGGCAACGGGGGCTTCAAAAAAGCCGGGTGGCTTTCTTGAAGTTTCTCGAAATGCGGCTTGTCTTGTTTTGGATCGGTAGAAACACTTCGCTACTTCGAGCAGCGAGCGGCCACTAAATTAACCGCTGATGCGTCGTCATACCGACTCGACTCCGTGGAATTTGGCTTGTCTTGGATCGGCAGAAACACTTTGCTACTTCGAGCAGCGAGCGGCCGCGAAATTAACCGCTGATGCCGAGTGGTTTTCGTGACGACGCGTCCATGTCTCTTCAATCTGCAAAATGCGGTTTGTTTGCTTCGCTTCTCTACGAACGTACCGATATTGTGAAGCAAGGTGCGTTTCTCGGGCTTTGCGTAATCAGGATAAATCGTGTTCTTTTCAATACGCGTCGAGTACGTTGCACCGACTCCCTCGTGAACCGCGCGC